CCCCAAAACCCCAAAACCCCAAAACCCCAAAACCCCAGAAGTTAAACTAGCTATATATTCAAAAATATTTTTAGCAATGATCAAAATGGGAACATGCCATTCTACAGGAAGAGAAGAAAGCAATAAGAATATAGTAAGGCACTTGGAATATACATGTTTAGATCAAGAAAAGCACTATGAAGAAACTCGCATCCTTTCGATCAAGGAAAAACTCACAATATTTGTAGGCCAAGAGAGTTATAATTTAGAGGCAGATATTCCCAAACTAGGAAGAGATTGGTATGCTCATTGATATTTTATGCAAAAATGTTGGTTAATTTTTAATAATAGCATCATGTGTCTCAAGAAATGCAATCTCCATATAAAAATGAGTTTAAAAAGTACCTTGTTTCTGATTTTCAGAATTCACAAAATGACCAAAGAGCAAAAATTGGAAAAATAAGATGAAGTAGCTAATCACCATATCAAATATATGACCAATCATAGGTTTTACTTCAGCTCCTACAATAAGAGTGGATTCAACTTTGAAGAACACATGAAGTTTAGTTCTGTAAGCAATATACCTCTCAAGATTACTTTTGATAGGACAAGGATGAACAAGTAGAGGCTGATTCCAAACCCAATCAGAATCAATGGGAAAGAATATATAACCTTGTTCTGCATCACAAATGGGATAAGTTCTTTCATAATCTAAGGAAAATTAATAAGTAAATCTCTTTCTCACAGCTATAGGAATTACATCGCAAATACATCTGAGGTAAGCCCCAGGTTAGTCTGATCATAGATTTTCGAGCGATACCCTAGAGCCAAAACCTTACTCTACAGGAACCTTGAAAGGATTAAGGTGAAGATAAAGAACAAAGTACTGTTTTGTAATAAATTCTAGAAATTCTTTCAGGGCAAAGATCCTGATGAATCTCCCTTCAAATAATATTAATGTAAATTTTATATTTCATCAATAGATCGGAAGGATATTGAAAAGAATCCTTTTCCAGAAGGTAGTCAAAGTCAAAGCTAAACAGGAACTTGAACATGGAGATGACTTGGAAAACAGAAAGTATGGGCTCGTATTCATGACTCATTATTTTTAGATGCGACTCATTTGAGAAAATTACTGAAAGGTCTAAAAATAGTAAGACAAGAGCATTATATTTAGGGCCAGATAGTCCTGATAAAAGAGCTTGTAGATCAAGACCAAGAAACTTTAAATCTGATTTTAATTTACGAAATGGGCCGATTCATCTAAAAAGAGCCTCTCAAATCTTTCTTAGGTATCTCAAATGTTTGAAAACCTTAGCGTACCGCTTGAATGGTCCCAAACCCCTGACTTCAAACATCATTTCAAAAATTCTTCTCCAAACTCTAAAAACTACATTAAAAACCTTAAAATTCCAGGAAGAATAAAAAACCGAAAGAAATTGCCAAATTCCTTCACAAAATTGCCAAAATTTGTCTCAAATTCAAGCCAAAAATTACAAAAATTCCTGAATTCTTCAGGAGTATTACAGAATTCTCAATCACCTAGGCCTCTCTGTGCGCCTATCTTGCCAGTTCTAGGCCAGAATCGCTCCAAAGAGATGCATTACAGCTCTGCAATGGCTGCAGAGCCATTGCAGAGCTGTAAGAAAAGAGTGAAGAAAAGGACTAGAAGAGAGAAGAAACTAATCAAAAGTCGGCTTAAAGGAGTCTACTGAGCCAGTACCAGGATGAAGAAAATGTTCGGTAAAGCCTAAATTCAATATTAACCAAGAGACTTGGGGTTTTGGGGTTTTGGGGTTTTGGGG